TCACCTCCGCCTCCTTGAACTGTTTGACCATCTTCTTCATGCTCCATTTCGGTTTTCGAAGTATTCTGATGAGTGGAACTTGTTGTTCGTTCTCAACAGTCACCGGAAACCTTTTATGAGGAAGGTCGTTGAGAGAATCCTCCTCGTGGAAGCGACGATTAGCGCTGTTGACCGTTGAGCGAGGCAGCCCAAAAGAGCGAGCGATTACGACAGGCGCCATTCCAAGGGGGCGCAATTCCGCAATTGAGGCTTGTTGGATAGAAGGCCTGACCATTTTTCTCAAATGACTAGATCTGTACGGAAATTCGAGGAAAGGTAGAGAAGAAACCGTGGAATCAGAAGACCAATAACGTAGCACTATTTTTGTGCATACAATTTTATGTGGTAAAGTTGTGTTGCAATATTTAATGCGCACCCTGTTTGTCTTGTTCCTCTCACTGGGAAACTGTTTCGAAAGGTTCCCCCTGAGTTCGCGTAGTTGGTCCTCTGCTACTATCTGTTACTATTGTCCNTCTTCAGAAGGGCTTTTCTGATCGGGGTAGCAAAGAAACGACAGAATGTGGTTTTCAATTTGCATCATGTGTAGCGTCTTTTTCATAGGATTGGCTAAGCCAGTGAAGTTTGATGAAATCGACAAAGCTAAAGAAGAAAAAAAGCGAGGGATTACAATCAATATAGCTCACATTGGATATGAAAGTGCAGCCAGGAGATATTCCCATACTGATTGTCCTGGACATTCAGATTTCATTAAGGTGAACTTTGTAGCAAAGTGTTCGTCACATTTTATGATGCCTATTTTATTTCTCTTTTTATAGAACATGATTTGTGGAACGGCTCAAATGGATGCTGCTATTTTGGTGATCGCTGCCACTGACGGTGTAATGGCTCAAACTAAGGTGCTCAAGTAAGGCTATCTGGTTAAATTCATTCACCGTGCTAGTTGGTGAAGCTTGCATTCTAGTCAGTTCTATTCAAGCAACATTTGTGCATTTTATTTCTGGCAGGCCCAATACTAAGGGTTAGATTCACATTACTTGTGGTCTTTCAAGCGCTCGTTGTGAATCAGGTTTGCTTGGTAATTAACATCTGCGCCTGGAAACAGCTGATGGAATATGCGTGGGTGGGTGGTAATGATGACCTGTTAATTGCTGATTTCAGTTTGAGGTGTAGACTGAAAAAATTCCATACCATACTGCAGTTTGAGCGCCATATGTTACATATAATTTAACGTTTATGGTCCTCTTTTCGTCCACATAACGTTTGTGTTCGAAGTCCATGAAGCTTGGAATAAACAAATAAGGTTTGTAACACAATGGAATGAAAAGCTAAGGAATACTGGGACAGAACGATTCGTCATAAGCGGTATTCTTTCGTAATTGTTTTCATCAAGGCACCCCGATTCTAACAGCTTTTGTTTTGGAGTTGAATGGATGGCGACGGATAGTCTCCTTTCGTTCTTATTTATCAAACTTCTGCTTCGTTTCCGACTTTTCTTCTCCTTCTTCATTCTTTTGCTGATGGGTGTTGCTGTCGGCCCAGCTAAACCTACAACAGCATTCCCAAGCAGGATTTCAGCTCCAGCGCTTTGGTTTTTGCAGAACTCAGTCTTGAACGTCCCTTTGATTATGTTATTGCGTCATTGACGTTATGTGAGGCGATTTTCGGGTAGGCGTAAAGACATAAGATATGGAACTTTATCAGGAAATTCAGCTCTATTCCGTGGAGTGCAGAGACGAAGAACATTGTGATGGAAGCTGGGGAATACCAGTGTACTATGTGTTTTCTAAAGTCTTTGAATAGTTTACTAGCAGTGATCTCAGAGCCTAGATGCTCGTGATATAGCAATGAATGATGTCGCGTTTGTGTGCATATACTAGCCAAGTAATAACGTTTAAACTTACCGCACTTATTTTAGGAACATCTAATCTTGGCTCGTCAAATTGGTCTGAAA